GCTTAGACGTAGCTTGCTTTGCTGCACTGACAGTATCGTTAAGATTAAGTTGTTTTATTCTGTTAAGAAGAAGCGATTTATAGGCTGTAAACACAGTTTATTAAACCCACAGCAAAAACGATCAAATCATACCAAGAAGTTCATTCAGAAACCAGAAAGCATGTTTATCCAGTTTGTGCAGGTGAGGTGGTCATCTGCTGTACATCACCTGCTGTGCTGAGTGGAGAAAGGTACCACAAATATCAGTTTAGAGGATCTACTGTCTTTAACGTGCTCAGACAGTGTGCTGGAGGTGTGAGGACAGAGTATATATGTACACACACACACACACACACACACACACACACACACACACACACGCACACACACACAAGAAGAAACTGCCGTGTGTTCATCAGTCTAAACATGTCTTTTATGGTTGTGTTTGTTTTCTCTCTCTCTCTGCTGTAGATCTGCTGCGGATGTTCTTTGACTGCCTCTATGACGAGGACGTTATTTCAGAGGACGCTTTCTACAAGTGGGAAGCGAGTAAAGACCCGGCCGAGCAGCAGGGAAAGGGCATAGCGCTAAAATCCGTCACTGCCTTCTTCACCTGGTTACGAGAGGCAGAGGAAGAGTCGGAAGATAATTGACCAGGAGAAGCGGCGGCCGCCTGTTTAAGGCCCGGAGGCTCGCTGCTGATTATACATTGAAAAACTGCAACTTCGTAACTCTTAAATGACTAGTTAGAGACTTGCTCCCCCAGGTGGCGAGACACAGACACGGCAGCAGCAGAGTTTCTGCGGTACGGCTTTGGATCGCCCCGTCATATTGTGTTTGTTTCCCTCCGTTAAGAGGGACAGGGCCCTAAAGTCCTTGTATCATATATAGATTTTTTTTTTTTTTTTAATTTTGAGTTTTTGGTTGCTTTTGTTACTTTTAAAGAAAAGACTTAAGAAATAGGTTCTGAACTCTATAATTTATTATTTTTTTAAGAAGGCCGCAAATACGGAAGTCTATTTAACATTTGCAGGTGCTCACAATGAGGAGATCATTGGTGATAGAAATAACAGAATATATAATTATCTTAATAATAATAGTTCTTAAGAAATAAGTCATTTTAGCCTCCCTGGACTTCCATGTCATTTGGCTTAACAGAAGATTGAAGAGGATGGAAGTGTTTTGTATGAAGGGAAAGGCACAGAAACCTGTTGTTTTTCTCTGGTTGTTTATGTCTCAGGTTCTCTTGAGTAACACCAGTAACTGCTCCTGCTGCTTTGTCTTGCTCAGTGCAGAAACCCGTCAAGCTTTCTCCAACAAAGGTAATGTATCTGGGAAAAAATGCATAGGACTCATAAATAAGTGAACAAATGACAAACACTAAATGCATTTGGGGGTTAAAAGATGCAAACACTACTAATGCAAGTCAAAACAGCACCAGAGTTGCTCTGTCTGCTTGTAATAAAGATCTATAGAGGAAATGTAAAACTTGTAAATATATTAAAGACTGTAAAAGATATTTAAAAAACAAAACACCCTGTTTCTGTTGTCTGTTTCAGCTTTTCACACCTTTTTCTAGAAAAAGGGCGTCGATATCGCTTCAGTCACCGTCTGACTGACTGAGTGAACGTCGTCCATCGTTGAATTATCAAACGAATCCATGGAAAACAGAAATGTATCCACTGCTGCTCCGTTTCCAGCCAGATCAGAGACTTTCTAGTGATGAGATTCTAGACGATTGCGCAGCATAATGTCTCTGCCATTACAATAAAATTCACAAACAATTGCATGTTTAAATAAAGTAACTTGATTTACTGAATGTTGTACTTGCAGTCTGGTCCATAAATATTTGGACATCGACACAGTTATTGTTATTTTAGCTGTCTATTACAGCATAGTGGAGCTAAAATAATGAGTATAAGTTCAAAGTTCAGACTTTCGGGTTTAATTCGAGTGTTTTCACATCCAAATCAAACAGACTTGGAATTACAAGCACTTTAGGTGCTCAGAATGAAAAGGACAAAGTAACACTTGTAGATTAAATTGTCAGTTTTGATGTGTTTGCAAATCCTTTGCAGTCAATCACTGCCTGAAGTCTGGAACCCACAGACTTGAGTAGATGCTGGGTTTCCTCCCTGATGCTCTGCGAGGCCGTTACTGCAGCTGTCTTCAGTTCCTGCTTGTTCCTGGGGGTGTTTTACCTTCAGTAAATGAAATGCGTAAACAATTGAACTGAGGTCAGATGATCGACTTGGCCATTGCAGAACATTCCACGTCTTTGCCTTAAAGGAGTCTTGGGCTGCCTGAGGTCATTGTCCATCTGCACTGTGAAGCACTGTCTGGTCAGTTTTGATGCATTTAGCAGAATCTGAGCAGGCAGCAGCTTCATACAGCTCAGAATACATCCAGCTGCTTTTGTCAGCACTCACATCAGTACATTCAAGGCAACCAGCTCTGTTGGCAGCTATACATGCCTCCATAACACTACCTCCACCATGCTTCACAGATGAGATGATAAGCTTTTTTGGATGTTTTTGGCAAACTCTAAATTTAGTCTTAACAGTAGTTTACATCTTGGGATAAACCCTCTATATTTCCCCTTTTTTGACTGACCGATACAGATACGCCCACCTCGTGGATCTGCCCAACTGTTGTGAAGAGGTTTCACTTCATCCATCAATGTTGTTTTCTGCGTCTTTCGGTGTTTCTGACCTCACCAATGTGTTCTTTATTTTGAAGAAAGTACTAGATAGTTGATTTGTCCAGGCCTGATGGTTTTGCTTTTTTCTGGTGGGTTTGGTTCAGTATTTGAGTCTGATGATTCACTGGCAGTTACAGCTCTTCGGATTTCATAAGGAGAGCTAACGACAACATATTCCAAATGTTATACTTGAAATCAGCTCTAGAACTTTTACCTGCTTACTTGTGAAATAATGAGGGAATAACACACATCTGGCCACAGAACAGCTGAAGGGCCAATTGTCCAGTTACCTTTTGGACCCTAAAAATGAGGCAGCACTGTATGATGAGGTTCCTAAATCGTTCACCCTCTCAAATTAAAGCTGAAGGTCTGTTTTTTGAGCTTGTGATCATTTACTTTCAACTCCAGGATTCCGTTGTTTCCGACTCCTGGTGACCGTATTGGATAGTGTTTCTCCAGCATATCCTGTCTTCTTCCTGGGTCTTCAGGCTTAAGGCTGGTTCATGACTTCTCTGAACGTGTCCATCCATCTTGCTGCTGGTCGTCCTCTTTTGCTCTCAGCTGTTCCACGCATAACCGTCTTTTCCAATGAGTTGGTTCTACACAGAATAAGTCCAAAGTAAGAGAGCTTCAGTTTGGTTATCTGGGCTTTGAGGCTTGAGGTGAGGCTTGATTTTGTCTGATCCATGTGTTTGTTTTCTTTGGCATCCCAGGTATTCCGATGCACATGAGCCTCCTCGCCTCAACAAGGCACCATACCATGGGAAGGAATAATAATAATAATAATAATATTAATATAGATAGTTAACAATACACTGTCAAATAAAGTAACTAGAAAACAATCATACTAAAAAATAGCAGGTATTGAAGTGTAACCGTGTCCTGTATCTTTTCCTGTATACTGTATTACTTTTGTTTAGTCTTGTTTTTATTTTCAACGTCCACAGAGGAGAAATGACCCTTTTTGATGCAGTAGGTAAGTTTTTTTTCTCACTCATCCAGTAGTGTTTTTGTTATGTGCCGCCACAGAGTGTCCAGGCGCTGCACATACCCACTTCCAAGTTCCGCCATCATTCATATATATATATGTGTGTGTGTGTGTGTGTGTGTGTATATATACACATATATACATTGCTGTTGTCGGAACAAAACCTTGTATCTCCAAAATAGTAACTTTACAGGAGAAGGAAAAACATACTTTACTTTTAATGTGAGTCAATGGAACCAGAGTCTTTACCAAGTTATTTTGGTCCATTCATCATTAAATTTACACACAATGTAAAGAGCAATAGGTACTTTCAAATTATGTAAAAACGACAAAAATGAAGATGTGAGGTTTTGCTCCGACAGCAGCTATATATATATATATATATATATATATATATATATATATATGTATGTATATATATATATATATGTATATGTATATATATGTATATATATACATAGATATACATATATACCATTTGAAATCAGCTGCACTTCTCACCGTGTAATTAATTTCATCATGAATGGTCAATAGAAAGGAACAGAAATGGACAGTATAAGAGTGTTTTAGTGTTTTTTTCTTTTTATGTGAAGTTTCAGAAATACAAGATTGACTTCCCATCCCACCACGGATAAATTGCTAAATTTCCTTCGGGATCAATGAAGTATCTATCTATCTATCTATCTATCTATCTATCTATCCATCCATCCATCCATCCATCCATCCATCCATCCAAATATATTTTTGCCAGACTTTGTACTTTAAAAATGATCCTCGAACAGCGTTCATTGGGGCATAGAAGAGACAACAAAATCACTTGTAGAAACACTGCTATTCTTACTACTGTCACTACTGTTACAGTACAATATCAGGTTATGCCTTAATTCAGAACTTTCCTAGTGAGTTTAGAATCGAGCACTAAGCTGTCTGCAGTGCTCTGTGGAGGCCTGTGGGAGGCAGATCTTACCCTACAGGTCTGTTTGTGGTAAGCGGTCATATGAATGGTGTTCATGTACACAACAGTTAATCTTTAATATATAATATTTAATATAAATGTATAATGATATATTGAAGTATATTAATAATAACAACAACACATCAACGTAGAAAATAACAAGACAAAACGTAACCAGAAATATATAAATATGTGAATTAGTAGCTATAGTTTGTGAAAAACAGCAAATATGAACAGAATGAAAAATACCATAAAAACAGTATCAGTCTAAACAGTACAAAATACTTACATTAAATATTGTTTAAAATATATAACGCCAACTATTAAATATAAGAATTTTAAATGCATTTTTTACGTTAGTGACTTTTATTCTATCGTGTAGTTTCCCACAGTTCCGGGTACACGAGCCGTGTGGTGCCAGCGCTGGTGAGTCGCTCATGTTCAGTTTTGGAAACAATTGGAGGGAAAATCTGCCTAAAAAACCTCCGAATCTCCGAAACTCTACCAGGAAAACATCTGACAGTGGCTGATTTGTCCTGATGTGCGGGAGCTGAGGCTGGAGCTCGCCTAGCAGGCGGAGCTGAGCAGCCGCAGAGCAGCTCCGCCGGACTGGGTTCACTGTTTCGGGCGTTCATTTAACCGGGTCAGCCGCGTTCCTCCGCAGCGCCGCTGCAGTAGCGGTGAAGAATAACCGTTACGGGCTGAATGCGGTTCACAATGGACTCGGTTCTGAAGCTGCTCGGCTTCTTGCAGAGCAGTTAGCAGCCGGGCTAACCGGGCTAACCGGGCCGCTCCGCTGTGTAACCGAGGTCACTCTGCTCCGGGTCTGGGTCGCTATAAGCTGCAGAGTCGGCTGCGCGTTTCACACATCAGAAAGCCGTCGCTGCTTCAGACACGCGGCGCTCGGGGCTTCGGAGAGGAGAAACGCCTGCATTCCCGCTAAAGGAGCCGCGGTTCAAAACAAAGTTAATGACATTACGTGCCCTCGTAAAAAAAATGCGTTCCCTCGCAAAATATATGCTCGTCAGACAGCAAGCAAACGTAGGACCAGAGGTGCCCGACGACACCGCCTCCATCAGAGCTCTGTTTTAGCACATTTAGCGTTAGAGGCTGTTTTCCCAGTTTGGCCAGTCTGAGCTGAGTCTGTTCAGCTGTGCTTCTCTGCGTCTCTGTAAATGTGGCTTTAACTGTCCGAGGAAACTCGACCTCAGTCTCAGTTTGAGCTCAGTAACAGCAGAATCATGAGAAGCGACGCTGTGTTTGCATTTCAGTCCAGTACTTAGTAAGGCGTGGGAACGAGATCACGACTTACTAAGTCGTGGCCACGCATTAGGATCTCATTCCCACGCGTTTCTAAGTCATGGCCACGCATTAGGATCTTGTTCCCACGCTTACTAAGACGTGGCCACGCATTAGGATCTTGTTCCCACGCTTACTAAGACGTGGCCACGCATTAGGATCTCGTTCCCACGCTTTACTAAGTCGTGGCCACGCATTATTTTTATTTATACAGGATGTCACCAGCGGGGCTCCGTACTTTGGTCCGATTATACTGAGCTTCATTAATCTTAATCCATCTCTGCCAACATGTAGTTTCTGTTTGGATGATACAGGAACCGAATCCCTGTTCTCCTGTAAAACTCTCTGAAGAACCCTGGCTGCCCACTAAAGAGAATCATTTTAGGCAAAATATTTTAATGCGCTTTTGGATCTTAGGACTTTACATCTGGTATTGAGTGAGTCAGTGTCTGTATTAACACCAGCATCACGGTTAGGTTCACATGTGGCTGTTTGAAGTCTGATAGACTACTTTGATTATAAGTAGCGCGTTTTTAGCCGATGTGCTTCACTGCAGTTTGTTTAGAGTTTGGTTAACTGACTTCGGCTGCGTTGCTCGATGGAGTGGTTTACCAAAATGGGTGACTTTTACCATTATTTTATTTTTTTTCTCTGATGGTGTTTTTCTTCAGAAACTTACTTTACAAGTGAAACTAAGTCTTAATCTGGTTTTGAGAATCCAGTCCTGCATGAATGAAATGGTCCTCCAACAGTGCAGATAGTTAGAGTGGTCAGCCAATTTGTTTTTGCATTTACATAAGTTTATTAATTACTTGCTGCTCTAATAACCTCATATACTCGAAGTTGTAAATGTGGGAGACAGAATGAGCAAAAATCTTTAATATACATTAAAGAAACAAGGTTTTATTCCAGGTAACTGGGAGCTCGTTCTGTTGGTCTGTTTTTCGTGTTATGTTCACACTGTGTAAATGGTGAGAACAAATCCCATTTTTGTTGCTTTTCCGTAGGAAGGATCTGATTTGGAAAGATGTATCGCCCCAAACCAACGCTGAAGGACCGACAGCACCTGTACAAGCTCATCATCAGCCAGTTGCTGTATGATGGCTACACCAACATCGCCAACAGCCTCATCAATGAAGTGAAACCCCAGACTGTGGTGTCTCCATCAGAGCAGCTAATGCAGCTGGCTAAGATTGGTGGGTCTCAGAGTAAAGGGCAGTTAAAGGAACAGTACTGTAAAAAGTAAGAGATGTAGTCAAGCTTCGAAATGACTCCTCCTGTTATGTGATGTAGTCCTTTAATAAGCCACATGTGCTGCTTAACAACTTGACGTGGTTTGGAGCTTTTGTGATCACTTAGGCCTGCAGTTTGATAACTGTAGTTTGTGGGGAGAAATGGTAGCTAATGATGCTCCAGTGGAACTCGGGCTACGTTCACATTACCTGGCTGAAGTGGCACAAATCTGATTTTCTGCCCTACTGTGACTCAGATCTGATGTTTTCAGAGCTGTGTAGTCTGATCATCAGCACAAACTAACGAGCAGAACGAGCTTCGCTGAGAAGATCATTAACTCTGATCAGCTCTCAGCTTCATTATTAGAGCGAGACGAAGGAGAAAAAGGTGAGATGAGCTGCTTTTCCACTGTTTACAGGCTTTAACTTCTGTTCGGCGCTGCTGCCATGGTAACGCTGAATGATGGCGCAGTGGAGAAAAAGCACATGAATTCCAATCTGAGCATCACATAAAGGTCTCATGGCCACAAATCGGATACGTATCAGATCTAGGAACACATATGAAAGTGGCTCAGGTCGGATTTGAAAAGATCAGATTTGTGTCCACACAGCCCTGAAAACATCAGATCTGAGTCACATTAGGGCAAAAAATCAGATTTGTGCCACTTCAGCCTGGTAATGTGAACACAGCCTTTCATATGTGGTCCTAGATCAGATACGTATCCGATTTGTGGCCATGTGACCTTAATGTGACGCTCAGATCGGAATTCACATGCTTTTTTTCCATCATTCAGTGGGCATTATCTTCTCAGCGAAGCTCGTTCTGCTCGTTAGTTTGTGCTGATGATGAACGTGATTCATTCACGTGACGTTACTGATTAGGATGTGTTCATGAGGGTCATTTCAGGACGCCGGTTCGTCACATTAATGACATATTTGAGTCACTTACCTAAACGAGTGTGAACCATCGTGTCAGAGAGATCAGATTTGAGCAAAAAATTGGATTTGAGGAATGAGGCTTGTAATGTGAACGTAGCATCAGAAAACGTTTCTTAGTTACTCTTCTTGATTGACTACGTTTGCAGTAACGGTAAAATTTTAAAAATTAAATTCCTCACCAAACTGCCCAACTTCCTGTTATCTGCAGAGTTGTGACTAAAAGTGCACCCATTTCTTTGTGAGCTCATTCACTGGGATCTAAAATGAAGCCGTTTGGCATGTGCTTCTCCTCCGAATGGTCACAGGGATGGAGAACGATGACAGCGCAGTGCAGTACGCTATTGGCCGTTCAGACACGGTGGCTCCGGGAGTGGGCATTGATTTGGAGTTCGATGCGGACGTACAGACGATGTCTCCAGAAGCCTCAGAGTATGAGACCTGTTACGTGACGTCCCATAAGGGCCCATGCCGCGTGGCCACCTACAGCCGAGACGGGCAGCTCATAGCGACGGGCTCCGCTGACGCCTCCATTAAAATCTTGGACACAGAGCGCATGCTGGCCAAGAGCGCCATGCCACTAGAGGTAAACATAAACAACAGTAGCATCACTGATGCGTACAGAGGTTCACTGTTACCTGTATACTGGTGAATGTTTTTTTTTTTTCTTCAGAAAGCATCAGGGGAATAATTATCATAGAAACGTTCAGATTCACTGTAGGTTATTGTATATTTAATAAAAATGTATAATTATTTCAGTAATAAAATATAGGTGTAAATGTAATAAATGAGCCGACGGATGAGCAGATCAGTGTCAGTGTCTCACTGCGTAGCACCATTTTAAGGTATTATTGGAATTAAAACACTTTCATTATATTTATTATTAGCTTTTTAAACAGGGCCATCGCCGTCGTACGAAATAGCTTCTAATAAAATCTGCACTTTTTCATGCTCTTCATTTCTTACTCTTGTCATTTATATACTACACTGAGATAACTAAAGTAGCTATGATCAGGTATCTGAACGGAACTGCTACATAATTTAAGGTGGAGTGAGAAATGAAAATAAGAAGCTGACTTCAGCTACATCTGATCTGTATGAGACTCAAAGGCCCAGTCCCATCTCACCCCTCGCCCCTACCACTGAGCCCTTAGCCCTCTGTTTAGCGTGTTCTCGTCTAGGGGTAGGGTGTCCTGATTCTTGTTGAGATAGAGGGGGAGGGTGAAGTGTTGGGGCTACATGACCCTCCAAACGGAGGTTTTTCAGAGACTCCAAACAGAGAGATATGAGAAAAAAAAGAAAAAACGGTAAGATGGAGAACAAGAGACCAAAGAAAACCACAAATGTGCGAATTTTCTCTGTTAAAAAATTACAATAACCATCATTTTATCTTAGTTTAATGTCGTTTCAGTGTATTTTGCTCGTTTTCTTCATAACAAGCATAAAAAATCGCTAATAGCATGCTAATGTCTCGGTAGCTAGCTAGCTAACTTGCCTGTTCCACCTTAAAAAGTCCAGCAGTTCTGACGCCTGAAGCACCAGAATGTGATTGCTGCTCCATTTAAGGTGGAATGGGAAAATTCGATTGAGAAGCTGGTGAATATCTGACTTCAGCTTCATATCACTGAAGAATTAGGGGTGGCGATAATAAATAATTGCCCCCCTCTTTGAAGTCATATGATCCCTAAATGTAACTAAAGCCCAGCAGTGAGGAGCTGAACTTTACCCTGCTCTGCTGTCACTGCAGACTGGCAGGGTCGCCTACAGAGCAGCACTGGTAGCTGTTAATGAAGTGATGCTCTTTTTATTTGAGGGTCTCATTTCAGAGGAAAGATTTCAACCACTAACCCTGTAACTCAGTTCCAAGGGGCAACACTCGAAAACAAGGGGTAGGAGTAAAAAGAAGAAATGGGACTGGGCCAAAGACTTAAAGTCAGCAAACCAGGGCTGCACTACTTGAGGTGGGGGGGGGGGGTTCAACCCCTAAATGACTACACTACTACTAAACTACTACAGACACACATTTGCCTGTAATGTGTGTAGTTTGTCTGAGTGTCCTTGTGCTTATATGTGTGAGTTTATACCAAAATGCTGTCAGCCCCTCGAGAATTCTCCCATTTACTCTCTCAGGCAATAAAGGTGCAAAAATCAATAAATGTTTATTTATTTTCATGGCATGATTGATCAGAGGCAGGCATTGAAAGGTTTTGGGTCAATAATAAAATGCCTCTTTGCTAATCATGTTGTGAGGTCAGAACAAACTGGTGTAAAGAATGAACTCCACCTCATGCTGAAATGCTAAACTGAGCTGTGTTTCAGGGCAACAGCTGTGTGTTATAACATCAGGCTTGTGGTTCTGACTCCCTCAGGTAATGATGAACGAGACTGCGCAGCAGAACATGGAGAACCATCCTGTGATCAGAACGCTGTATGACCACGTGGATGAAGTGACCTGTCTGGCCTTTCACCCCACCGAGCAGATACTGGCCTCGGGCTCACGCGACTACACACTGAAACTCTTCGACTATTCCAAACCCTCAGCTAAAAGAGCCTTCAAATACATCCAGGTAGAGCACTGTGTGGTGCAGGATGAGTGAAACAGGTTGTTGGAGAGAGTCTGTTTCTCTAGTAAGAGGAACTATTTAAACACATCAGTTGTGATAATGTTCAGGTAAAAACCAAGCGAAGGCATGTTTATGGACTGAAGATCACTCCTTTAGTTACTTAGATACTCGTAGCTAAAGTTTCGGCTATTTTACGACTGCTAATCTAGTGACTATAAGCTTCCAGTGCTTGTTAGCTATGTTAGCCTTCTCCAGCACAAAACTAAAGAAGAAAGACTCTTAACGTGACGGTTGATTGACTACTTTGGGCGAAGGGGAAAATATATTATGTAAATTAGGTTTTTTCGCATAACGACTGCTTCATATTCTTTCATCATTAGTATTGTGAAGCAAATGGCATTGAATGCTTAAGGAATCTGCTTTTTTCCCCACAGGAAGCAGAAATGTTGCGTTCCATTTCCTTCCACCCATCAGGAGATTACCTGCTAGTGGGCACTCAGCACCCCACCCTGCGTCTCTACGACGTGAACACCTTCCAGTGTTTTGTGTCATGGAACCCACTGGACCAGCACACGGACACCATCTGCGGCGTCAACTACAACCCCACCGCCAACAGCTACGTCACCTGCAGCAAGGATGGCAGCATCAAGCTGTGGGACGGCGTCTCTAACCGCTGCGTCACCACCTTCGAGAAAGCCCACGACGGAGCCGAGGTCTGCTCAGCTGTCTTCTCCAAAAACTCCAAATATATCCTGTCCAGCGGGAAGGACTCGGTCGCCAAACTGTGGGAAATCTCCACCGGCCGGACACTTGTCAAATACACAGGTAACAGTCCACCGTGTAGCTTAGTTGCGGTAGGTCGTATTGCAATACTAGTATTGTGTTGTATTGTGATAATAACATATCAGGGTGATTCCCTTTCCTGGCCTATATGGACCTTTTTTACCGATTGTCCTGCTGGCACCACACCAGGTTGTATTCACCACTGTGTCGTGTCCTCGTGGTGTTCTTTCTGCAGGTGCGGGTCTGAGTGGCCGTCAGACTCACCGGACGCAGGGTGTGTTTAACCACACGGAGGATTACGTGCTGCTGCCAGACGAGCGCACGGTCAGCCTGTGCTGTTGGGACTCTCGCACAGCCGAGAGGAAAAATCTGCTGAGCCTTGGACACAACAACATCGTCCGATGCATCGTCCACTCTCCAACTAACCCTGGCTTCATGACCTGCAGCGACGACTTCAGAGCTCGATTCTGGTACCGCCGTACCACCACCGACTGAGGGTGGTTTTAGGAGTGTATGAGTGTGTGAGAGAGAGAGAGAGGTGTGTGTGTGTGTGTGTGTGTGTGTGTGTGTGTGTGTGTGTGTGTTGGACAGTACTGAATGCCATCGGACTGTTGAAATGCTGTCAGAAGGCCTGTTTTTTCTGCTGGCTGCTATGACCACCAGTAGAGGGCGCCATTTCACCATGAAGATTTTGCATAGCCTCCTCACACTGTTTTTGAGCTGAGTGTACTTGGTGTCATTTTGGCCAGTGATGATAAACGTAAGCCTAATAGTGTTGCATATTCTGAATGGCTGGAAAGACAAACCATTACTTTTTCCCTATGTTTTCTCCTGTATTTGAAAAGAGGGTGGAGACAGTTCATCTGTGAGTGACTAGTGAAATTTGTTGCTTTCTCAGTTCATGTTTGGTGTATTGAGCCTTTTTTAAATAAAAGAATAAAAGAAATTGGTTTTGTTTCAGTCGGTTACGCTGTAGTGTAGAAAGGGAACTACTGTACTGAATTAGGGAGAATTTAGCATAAAAATAAGGCTGAGCGATTTGACAATATTTATCGTAATAATGATAAATTACACGACCGTGTCACTGTATGCTTTTCTGAGCGTATCGTGAATATCGTCAGTACTTTAACACGTCCGAACTGCAGGACTGATCACAAAGAGCAAACAGCGTTAGTGTTTTTAGTGCAGCAGTTTGTGAAATGTTGAACACAAATTATTAGATTCATGGTTTATAAAAAAGTTTTTTTAATGGTATACTGTCCCAGCTTATGTCAGAAAAAATAATCATTGTGATATATTGTGCGTCGTGAAAACTTGAATTATTATGATTTTTTTTTTCTCTTTTTTTGTTGCACATATTGCCCAGCTCTAAGCTCATCTCACGGAAATAAGAAATAGTGAAATATAAAGCTAAGAAGCATTTTTGTTACCTTTGTAAGACACAAATTAAAATGAGACAAATTCAAATTTGTTTAACCTCTTATTCTCCAGAGTATATTTTGGTTTGTCCATCTGAATTCACATGATTAAATCGTGAGGGAAATTATTCAATAACTGCATGAAATAAATGTACATTTTTATTTTATTTATTTATTTATTTTTTGTAAAAGTTCCCTCAAATTAACAGAACATGTGTTTTATGATACACATATTGCTATATGCTTACAGTTTACTGCTGAAAGCCAAAAATCTTAGACGCTCTTTGTATTATTTTATAAAAATAATGTTTACAGAGCAGATCACTGAAGAGACGCCATCTGTTTATAGTTTATAGCCCAGATTTGTGGAAAAATGGGTCGACTTTCAGTAGAACAAAAAAAACTGAGTTCAGCTTCTTTTATTATAAGGGTTTAAAATTACATCACCCATCTATTTGACTGGAGAGAAGACAGTTACAGCTCTCATACGACCCCCACCTTTAGAATGTAGCTTATGAAATATGAAAGTTATGAAGAATATGATGAAGTGCGTTTTGGACCCCCCGGTGGTCTCGAGGAGCTGAAGAGGTTAAAAATGTAACTTTGTGTATTGAGCTGTTCAATATTAGACTTTCTTAAATCACTTTGACATCTAACCGTATTTATGTATTAACTCATACACACGTTTAATCGATGATAAAGCTAATTATTCGTTTTTAATTATGCGTATACTGCATATACTCCTGTTCGTGTTTGGGAAGAGTGCTCATGTGTTGTGTGATCATGTGATCTGATTTTGATCAATAAGCCTCGTTCTTTTTTTCATTAGATGTGAAGCACCTCATGGTTCTGGCTTGTAATTCACTCACTGAGCCCCTCATGTTTCACTGTCTGGAGGTTCTGTATGAAGCCATACTGTTAGCACACATGTAGCTTTCGGTGCTTCATAAGATCAGTGCTGCTCATCAATAACACACTGTGTCGTCGGTGAAAAGAGATATGAAACTTTCACATCGTTCTCATATCTCAGCGATCACAGCAGCCTGTGTGGGTTTGAAGCTTTGCTTTTGAATCTATCTCACTATGTTTTGTGGCCTTTCATCATCTGCTGCCTGGAAAGGTTTGGTCAGGCAGGTTCAGCTTTGAGCTACCAACCAGAATACTGTGGTTCTGAATGTGGTTGGCCTCTTCACTGCAGCTGTAGCATGAAATGTGTGCCTTTTACTCGTGGGTTTATTCATTGGTTGGCTGTGCCATTTCTTTCTGCAGCTGCTGTCGAACACAGACCGGGCCTGCTAAAGGTCACAGTGTAGAAACTCCTGAGTGGAAACGATCATCATTATAGCTCACAGCCTTTCTTGTCGTGCCTCTTATTAGGAATAGTTTCATTAGCATTAAAAACATACATTCAGTCAGATGTCCAAACCTCTACTTGGCTCAACTCTGTTCAGTTCACCTCAATTCAGCTCAGCTCCACTACACTTAGTCTTTGCTCACCTCAACTCAGTTCAACTATATATACACCGATCGGGCATAACATTCTGACCACCTCCTTGTTTCTACACTCATTGTCCATTTTATCAGCTCCACTTACTATATAGGTGCACTTTGTAGTTCTACAGTTACAGACTGTAGTCCATCTGTTTCTCTGATACTTTGTTAGCCCCCTTTTACCCTGTTCTTCAGTGGTCAGGACCCCCATGGACCCTCACAGAGCAGGTACTATTTGGGTGGTGGGTCATTCTCAGCACTGCAGTAACACTGACGTGGTGGTGGTGTGTTAGTGTGTGTTGTGCTGGTGTGAGTGGATCAGACACAGCAGTGCTGCTGGAGTTTTTAAACACTGTGTCCACTCACTGTCCACTCTATTAGACACTCCTACCTTGTCAGTCCACCTTGTAAAGTCAGAGACATCGCAATGTCGAGACATTGTAAAGTTAGAGGTCATCCTCTAGTCCTTCATCAGTGGTCACAGGACGCTGCCCACAGGACGCTGCCCACAGGACGCTGCCCACAGGACGCTGTTGGCTGGGTATTTTTGGTTGGTGGACTATTCTCAGTCCAGCAGCGACACTGAGGCGTTTAAAATCTCCAGCAGCACTGCTGTGTCTGATCCACTCAGATCAGCACAACACACACTAACACACCACCACCACGTCAGTGTTACTGCAGTGCTGAGAATGATCCACCACCCAAATAGTACCTGCTCTGTGAGGGTCCATGGGGGTCCTGACCACTGAAGAACAGGGTAAAAGGGGGCTAACAAAGTATCAGAGAAACAGATGGACTACAGTCTGTAACTGTAGAACTACAGAGTGCCCCCTATAGAGCAGAGGTGTAAGTAACGAACTACATTTCCTCTCGGTGCTGTAATTGAGTAGTTTTCCCCGTAACGGTACTTTTTGGAGTAGAGTTCAATCAGAGCACTTTTACTCTACTTGAGTTCATTTTTACTGAAACACTTTTACTTCACTACTTTGATCTTCATAACGTTACAGAGTGAAATAAATGATGAGCGAATCAGCTCCGAAACCAGTCAGACGAACCCACCAATCAAAAAACAGCAGCTCCGGCAGGAAAAACACCACAGAGATGACCAGTTTAGTGGTGAAGGACAGAGGAGAACTGAACCAGCACACAGGAGGAACTGACCATCCAAACGGTCATCTGTGTTCATTTAACACGAACTAAAGAAAACGGCGTTATTATCAGCGGCCGAACACGAAACCTGCTGAGATCCGCCCTCACAGGTCCACTCCAGCCGAGCCAGCTGATCGAGCTGAACAGGTACCGAGTTCACAGGTTTCTTCTGTCTTTATAAAGATTCTGTTTATTACACTTTAAATCTGCTGCGCTTATTTTACCACAGTGCCTCTCAGACACTTCAGTGAACAGGTGTCGCCCACAGCCTGCAGTCCGTCCGTTTACACAGCCTAGTTTAGCTGCTGTTTGGAGATCAACGGTCGTGAAGACAAGAAATCTAGTCTAATACGGGATCTTATAAACTCCGCACAGTGATTCTGTCGCACTGTCGACCTGATCTCATCCCCGCCCCCCCTTCCTTCCTCCCTCTCTCTCTCTTCCTCTCTCTCTCTCTCTCTCTCTCTCTTCCTCTCTCTCTCTCTCTCTCTCTCTCTCTTCCTCTCTCTCTCTCTCTCTCTCTCTCTCTCTCTCTCTCTCCCTCTCCCCCTGTCTTCCCTCTCTCTCTCCCTCTCTCTCTCTCTCTCCCTCTCCCTCTGTCTCTCCCCCTCTCTCTCTCTTCCTCTCTCTCTCTCTCTCTCTCTCTCTCTGTCTCTCTCTCCCCCCCACCCCCACCTCTCTCTCTCTCTCTCTCCCCCTCTGTCTCTCTCTCTCTCTCTTTCTCACCCTCCCCTCTCTCTCTTTCTGTCTCTCTCGCCCCCCCCCGTCTCTCTCTTCCTCTCTCTCTGTCGTCCTCCCCCTCTGTCTCTCTCTCTCTCGTCCTCCCCCTCTGTCTCTCTCTCTCTCTCTCTCTCTCTCTCTCTCGTCCTCCCCCTCTCTCTTTCTGTCTCTCTCGCCCCCCGTCTCTCTCTTCCTCTCTCTCTGCCCCCCCCCTCTCTCTCACCCCCCCCCTCTCTCTTCCTCTCTCTCTGCGCCCCTTCTCTCTCTCTCTCTCTCTCTCTCTCTCTGCCTTGGTGTTTATCTTGGTGAGAGGCTGTGTAGCTGTTTAACAGTGAAATGCAGTAATCATGTCTGGTTCTGTATGAGGTGATCAGCATGATCAGTGAAATATATTACAGTAAAATCACAGCTGGGTAATTTGCTGATGCTGCTGCTGATTTTAATGGTGTAAATGTTCTGAACTGATATCAGTGTAAATGTACAGTCTGAAGGCTGTGAATGTGTTCACTGTCTGTAGAGGTTCACACCTGTTAACGTAAGATGATGATATTAACGTCAGTCCAGGGGGCTGATGGGCAGCAGGTCCATCACTAAAATTCTGTTTAAATTACGTGTGTAGATGTGCTCTAGCAGAGCCAACTGTGATCAGTCTCAGCTCTCACAACTTTAGCTTTAGTGTTTTTCTGTACAGATGAAGCAGCTGAGTAGCTCAGAAATATGTTCAGGTTGTGACGGCGGAAATACGAAGAAGTAAGTAACTCAGTACTTAAGTAGTTTTTTAATGAACTACTCATTTACTCTTACTCGAGTAATTTTATTAACTAATACTTTTACTTGTACTTGAGAAAATTATCACTACAGTGACAGTACTTGTACTTAAGTAGGGATTTTCAGTACTCTTCATATCTCTGCTATATAGTAAGTGGAGCTGATAAAATGGACAATGAGCATAGAAACAAGGAGGCGGTCAGATCGCCTTGACTCTCCTAGTCTTGGTTCACCACAACTTCAACTCAATTCAGCTTGACTCAACTCACTTAAACTCACCTCAGAAGAATTCAGTTTGGTTCCATTCATCTCGACTCAACTCCATTAATCTCAGCTCAGCTCAGCTCCATTTATATTGACCCCACTCTGTTTAGTTCAGCTTAACTTGATTCAGTTCAGTTCATATTGACTCAACTCCATTCATCTCGGCTCAGTTTGATTCCTAATGACTCTACTCTGTTCAGCTCAGCTTAACTCACCTCGGTTCAATTCAATTTAATTCATGTCAACTTCGCTCCTTTCAGCTCAGCCAAACTCAGTTCAGTTCAATTTATCTTGACTCATTTATATTCAACTCAACTCAAATCAAAAAAAAACTTTACTGGAATGATCCTGTTAAGTAAAGTGTTGCTAACACATGTATGTCTGTTTGTGATTGGTCAGTTAATCAGCCAAGACTAACACACATGTACACGTGACCTCAACTTCTTATGGGTCACTGAGTTGGTCATTTAAAAAAGATATAAATGTAATGTGGGTTGTCCGTTACTGCAGTGTTGGCGCAGTGAAGTTTGTGTCTGCAGACTGGCTTCTGCCTTTGGCTTTAAGTAAAATTCCTTCTGATGTCATTTGAGCAGATGTGAATATTTTTCTTCCAGGAATTTGTCAGTAAACAATAAACAGTCCAAACTGGTCACCTAGTTTCTCATTTTAAAATAGATGATGGACAGTAATGTTGATGGCCATGGAGAGTCACCACTATTAGTGCAGTTTAATAAATTCCTTCATAAAAAATGCTAAAATTGGATGTGCGGATGGAGGCTTGTATGTGAAACATCACTGATGAGGGATTTTTTCTAGCAGCATTTTATCAGTAAACAGCCAACGCTAAACAGTCCACACTAGTCACTAAATTACTCATGGAAAGTGATGTAATATGGGTAGTCAGTGAAGAGTCATTATATTTAATGCAGTTTAATCGATAAAGTAATAAAACTTTCTGTGCAAAACAAGTGAATTTCCTTCTGGAGCACTGATAGATTGATGAAGGATTCTTCTGGCTGGACTTTGTCAGTAAATATCAGGCCTCAGGATCTTCTCTAGTGTCCTTCAAAAACTTCCCCCAAACCATTAAACCCCCCCATCCCCCGTTCTTTTCCACTTTTCTTTGTGTCGTCTAGACAACAAAGCCGAAACGCTGGAGAATCCGGTCCTTTCAAATAAGCCATCAACAATAAATCGGCTCAGACACAGGAGGACGAGGACAAAAGTGCAAGAGAAAAACAATGGCTGTGTCCGAAACTGTTCACTACATAGTGCACCTCTCTGTAGTGCTGTCTGAAAACATAGTGGAGAACGTTCAGTGCACTCTTACAATCCCACAATGCACATCAGTCGACCGTGTAAGAACAGTGTACCCCAGCGAACATGGAATAAGGCACTGCACTGTATGCAGAGGTGGGAGGAGTAGCCTAAATCAGTACTCAAGTAAAGTATTAATACTTGGGTAAAATAATGTAAAAGTATCTTCCCAAAAATGCCTAACACAGAAGCAGCTTCCTGAAAGACAACTTGAGTAGAAGTGTTAGGTTAAAAAACGTACTTACAGTAAGTACTGGGTAACTTATCGAACCATGGTGTAACATCTCAGTAAATCCAACACCTATCGCCATAGAAACTGAGGCTCTTTTGGCTTTATTCTTCTCCTTTTCAGATTCTTTTGGTCAAAATAAAATGATGAGCTCTAAAATATGATGTGAGACCAAACTCAAAGCAGTACAGATGTACAGAAGCAGTACAGTACAAACTGAAAGCATTACAGACCAACAAAACATCATTAAATTAAACACAAAAAAAGGAAGTTGTAACTAAAAATAGTAACTGAATGACTAAAACACAACTGAGTAAAAAGTAGATCCCTTCACTGACTAATATATTTGAGTAGAAGTGAAAGTATTATGATTTTTAAAATACTCAGGAGAGTACAGATCAATCAATCAATCGTTTACTTAGGTATGTACTTCATAAATGTAACTAGTTATGCAGTGAATGTATGCAGTGGAATTCGGCTACTGTCGCAGAATGATTACGCTGGACAGGTCGCCAGTCCATGACAGGGCAGACACACACATTCACATCTAAGGCTAGTTTAGCATCTCAAACTGGCCTGACTGCATGTGTTTGGACTGTGGGAGGAAACCCACACAGACACGGGGAGAACATGGCAACTCCACACTGACTCTGGTTGCCTGGCTTTGGAATCAAACCCAGGCCCTTCTTAGGCCGATATCAGCAGGAAGTATTGGAATATCACAGGAATTTAATATTGGAAAATGAAAATGAAATGAACATTTTAGCCAACTGTGTCTGAACACATCGGAATTAGACCTCCGCATTTAACCCATCCGAGCAGTGAAACACCACATACACACTAGTGAACACACACACACTAGGGGGCAGTGAGCACACTTGCCAGAAGTGGTGGGCAGCCCTATCCACAGCGCCCGGGGAGCAGTTGGGGGTTAGGTGCCTTGCTCAAGGGCACTTCAGTTACTTACTGTCAGCCGAGGGGATCGAAGCGGCGACCTTCCGGTCACAGGGCTGGTTCCCTAACCTCCAGCCCACGACTGCCCCTGGTTCAGTTCTGTTGCAGATCCAGACTGAAACACAATCAGCTTCTGTTTTCTGTAACAGTGTTTTACAGTGGGAAATGATTCAGTACATCACGAAATCTCAGATTTCACAACAGTTGGATTAAACCCAATTACATTGTTTTGGTTCAATTGATAATTGTTTTTAAAATACACTGAATAAATAAATCTGACTGGAGGAACTATTTTGTTGCTTTTTTTGGTGATTTTTAGTTTTCTACATTGTTTGAGCACAGCAGCCGTCCTTATGTGAACATTTCATGATAAATAGACAAAAATAAAAAATACTTGAAATAAAATCTCTAAACATTAACTTCCATCAAATAGTCAGGAATGTATTTGCTCTTTCCTGTAAAGTTACCATTTTTCAATACAGCTTTGTTTTTTGTTTTGGACATTTACAATTTACGCAGTGGTGAAATAAAGACACTAAAAAGTGTTGTTTTTTTATTTAATTTTATTTTTATGTCCAAAAATAGCCTGAGAATTGTATTTTTGTTGCCATGTATAATAAACACTGGTTTAAAAAATCACTGGAAGGAGTTTACATCAGAAAATCAAACTGACTTCCACTTTTTTTTTTTCTTTTCGGAAAAAGACAAACTGATGTTAGTCCACACCAGACTGACAAACGCAACTTCATCTTTCAACAGAAAAAGAGGAGGGGGGTGACGTAGATGGAGCGCTGACAGCTGTGGGTGTGGAAGAACTGTGATTGGCCGAGATGAAGGACAGGCAGAAAACCTAACTGAGTCTGCTCATTGTGAAGTGTGAGTCTCAGGCAGTGCGTGTAAGTGAGTGTGTGTGTGTGTGTGTGTGAGAGAGAGAGAGAGAGAGAGAACACAGCGAGTTTGTTCTAATAAATAAGTGAGTGAAAGTGGAAATAGACGTGCAGCAGTGGGGAGGAAGAGTTACACTTATTTTGGAGGCTTCCACTCACAGAGGGACGCTGAGTGTGCTTGAGCTCTAAATGGACCTTTAACTGGATTGTGTTTCGGCCTGTTAATCACAGATGGAGGTAAGAACTGTTTACTTCTCTAAAGCTTTTCACCCCCTTTTACATCAAACATGGTCAGCTCTGTCCATGTGGAGTTCACTTTATTAGGTGAGTATAATGTGCAGTGCTTTTTTGGGGGGGCAATATATTACATCTGTCTGTCTGTCTGTCTGTCTGTCTATGATCAACCTGCATAATTTCATGTCCATCTTCATATGAAGGCTGAAGGTTTATTGCAGCACTCCAGAAAGTGTTGCTTCTGTTTTGACCTGCACTGCTTGTCTTTATGAGGGTCACTTTTTTTCCCCCCCTGGCCTGCGGACCTCCAGCTGCTGGGATATCGCTCTAAATGTTGGTGTCAGCTCACTCTCCTATTTTTTCATGCACCCCATGACCTCCTTTCAACCCCTCCCTACCCCCTAAAGCCCTGTTTAGAGTTGCAGTTTGTGCTGTGTAATGTGATACAGAGAGAGAGAGAGAGGGAGAGGGAGGGAGGGAGAGAGGGAGAGAGAGAGAGAGAGGGAGACAGAGAGAGGGAGAGGGAGGGAGAGAGAGAGGGTGGGAGACAGAGAGAGAGTAGGAGAGAATGGGACTTTATTGGTGTCGTTAACTTGTTGCTTTCCTTTGGAATCTGTGAATTAAAGCTGCAGAGAACAAAGGCTTTTGGGTAAAGTGTTGCTAGACTGCGTTGCCTGAAGCTGCTGTGTTTGTCAGATATCAGCTAAACGCCGTGGCTATTCTGAGGCACAAGCAGAAGTGGCCACTGTGTCATTTTTGTGACATCAGTTGCCAAACCGATTTGTGCAAAAGTAACCGAGAGCGGAGTCTCTTTAGGAACTGGAGCGAATGACGATGCATTAAAGCGACATTATTGTACATTTTTCTCGCTCTTTCTTTATTTCCTGTAAATCTACTCATAACATTTTGTGTGGGTTTATGTATCAAAAATGGTCACAGTTTATTTTTATGTAACTTCTCTTTACTTTCTCACAATCAAACAGGTTGTTTTAAATGTCTGTGATGTCACAACCATGACAAATACAAAACAGCAGGTTTTTGCAGCTCAGTTTCCATATATGAGCTGTGGATTCTACATTTGGAAACTTACCAGTATATAAGCTTTATCAAACCATTTTACTTCAAAAAAGCATTTGTCACCTTTAATATGTGAATTATATGACAAAATATATATATATATATATATATATATATATATATGCAAGTAAATATGAAATATCCATCTAACTCCCATCGCATAGACAGTTCCTGTGTTGTTATTAGTAACTCCAGTAGCTCCACTTTGCATACAGTCCATCGATTGTTTTAACCATCCTCTAGCCTTTTGTGATTGGTCAGTTTATGTTTTTGTGTGGTGTATCAACCCAGCATTGACACTGATGAATGCAAAAGCCCCAGCAACACTGCAACACTTGTAGCACCATCACACACACTAGCATGTCTGCATCACTGCTGTGGTGAGAATGATCTGCCACTCAAATAATATCTGATCAACTGTGATCCTGTGGTCAGAAACTCATCGATGATGAATGAAATAGATAGAAAGCAGCTGACAAACTGTGCAGCAACACATGAGCTACAGGCTGGTGTTTCTAATAAAGTGGCCAGTGAGTTGAAGTATAGGGTTGGTGTTTCTAATAAAGTGGCCAGTGAGTTGAAGTATAGGGTTGGTGTTTCTAATAAAGTGGCCAGTGAGTTGAAGTATAGCGTTGGTGTTTCTAATAAAGTGGCCAGTGAGTTGAAGTATAAGGGTGGTGTTTCTAATAAAGAGGCCAGGGAGTGGAAGTACAAAGTATGGGTTTCTAATAAAGTGGACTCTTAGTGCATTAAGATAACATTTGCAGATGCCTTAGATTGTCCCAAATCAGTAATACAGCCCTCTGTTTTCTTTGACTTGTCTGTTTGGAGGCCGAGGCAGCCAGGCAGATGATTTGTGTCTGAGCAGGTTCCTGTGTGGATGTGTGTGTCTGCAGATGTGTGTCTCCATCTCTGTCTCTGTGTCTCTGCCTGTGTGTCCAGCCTGCTGGAGCACTGGCCACAGCTGGCCAAAGGCTCTGCCTGGACAGGCTGAACAAAGCAGGAAACTGTGAGGAATCTGAGGAAAGTTTCATTGCTAACAGCCGGTGCTGAGGAATGAGGAAAAAATAAGACAGGCGCTGATCTGTGTTTACTTCGCCGTGCGACACTTAGTTTATCTTCTTTACCTGATAAGATTCATGGGTTAACACAAGCTCTCACACCCACATGTGAAAGTGACAGTCAGTGTGTGAATGCGGTCCAAAATTAAGCTTTATTAGAAAATCATGTGCTCCCAGTCACCGCTTTATGAGCTCCACCTATATTATGTACGGTTACATACTTCTGACCACACAATCGATACTGACCTGAAATTACTAGTGTGGTGGATCATTTATAGTGTGTGTGGTGGTACCAGTATATCGGCGGTTTTGCTGGAATTTTACACCCATTTGTGTCACAGCTGGGTTGAGAGTGGTTTGCCACCCAAAAATATCCAGCCAAGAGCAGCTCAGTGATCAGAAACCTACCACTGATAAAAGGCCAGTAGATGGCTAACACAAATGTGCAGTAATGGATAGTCCACAGTCTCTAGCTGTCCACGTCCAAGGTTGAGTTTACAAAGGAGAGGTTTCAAATGAAGTGGCAAAGGATTGTCTGCATAATAGGATTGCAAGATAATTCATATGTTTATGAGTATTGCGATTTGAGTTGCTGAGATACTGTTAAGGGCTGCGATGACAGAACCTCTCACATGCAGCATTAGAGTGAATACAGTGATGAAGCACAGCATTAGAAGCCCAAACTGTGAGTAACCATTTACATAAAAGGCCAGTTACTAAACAACCATGTGCACAGCTCAAAAACGACTCCATCCTGAACTCCTAGCAGGTAACAATACTTCAAATGTGATGATTTCTCTTAGTGCCAGCGCTGCTTGTTAAATGTGTGAAGCTGTAATTGGTTCTGTTACAACAAACTTGCATCAGCAAAAGGAAATTATAAGATACGATTTAAATCTATATTGGTTTAATTAAATATTATATTTATAAACAACTGTTCAGGAAATGCTGTGTGCAATGCACAAAAATTGCTTGCAATTCTGATAATTAATTATTATGTTTATTCTGCAGAATTGGAATACTGCTTTTGTAATTTGTCATTTTTTTATTTTACACTGATATTATTTGCTTGATGTTTCTGAGCATTTGGGGATGTACACCAGAGGGTTGGTGTTTCTGGGAAATCATTGATTTTGCTGGTATGATGCTTTATATGTTTATGCTTATCTGCATCTGTCATAATCTACAATCTACAAGTCATATATAACTCAATACACAGTATCAGCAATAGGTGTTATATTGCATTTTGTCTGGGAAACAATCCTCCGGCCCTGTATTCAACTCATGTTTTGGATTATCAGCATCTATCCAGGACGTTTATCAGAAGTGTAAATACGTATCTTGAATTCCTTTATCTTTGCTAAACATTTAACTGCAATCATGTCTCAGATCGGGATACATTTGCGAAAGCAGCACCAGGGATAGCACTAAACATTTATCTTAATATTGCTTTGGTTTTGTCGCTATGTTGCTGTACACCAGCACTAAAGCCTCATTTGTGTGCAAGACCACACGCGAGCACGAAAAAGGATTTTGAATCATTTTTGACTCGTCGATCTGACGATGACCTAATTACCCAACACCAGCTCTACTCCCACCAGTGTGGTTTGTCAGGTCATGAGGGTATTTTTTTTTTCAGACCAGCCCCTTTGAGTCACCTAGCACAAATATAGTGCGACTGGTGTAGGGGTCAGAGAAGAGAAGAAGCTGAGGTTGGTGGAAAAGTTGCAAAGTGCTACTGAGACGTTCACATCGTAACACTTATTAATCAATTGACTTATTCATACTGTCCCCACCGATGTGTTCTTTCCTGATTTGACCAGCTTTACAGAATGTTGGTGAAAATCATATTCAACCAAATCAGCAATGGTAGCATGCTTTGCTTAGAGGCGCTACATAACATTGACTTTCCTGTTTAATATGCCAAGCTGGACCTCGTTGTTGTAGCTAATCAAAACTAGCTAGCCTACAAACAACAATGACTTTCCTACAGTGTTACTGTTCACTGGATAACATGTCAAACAAAAACCATGTCCAATCTATCTTAACAGTGTGACCTTTCATATACAACATTAATATAATCTAAAATGAATAATGCTTTCCACATGTGGGTGTTATAAAAAACTGTTGTGTGCTCTGGTTTAACACAATGTAGAGCTGGTCTAACTGCAATGGTAGCTGTAAAATAATGAATGAAAGCATTTGTGGGTAAAGCATAAGTCAGTTAAGCAATAAAGCTCGTAATGCGAATGTTCCCAGAGAGTAATGAATGACTAAAATAAGTGGATTTATCTCACTAAGCTGTAATGAACGCAACATCTCCAACTTCCCCTTCACCATCCGGCATTCAGTCACCTTCTACACTGACTCAAGCTTCCTGCAATCCACATCACAACTGGGGCTGGGTTTTGTTTAAAATGTACAACATGACGAAAAGCACGTGGACAACCGAACATCACAGCCATATGTTCTTGTTGAACATCTCATTCCAAACCATGGACGTTAATATGGAGTTGGTTCCCTCTTTGCTGCTATTACAGCCTCCATTCTTCTGTGAGGGGTCCCCCCCAATGTTGGAACATGACTGCACAGCTTCCTTTATGTTCATTTTCTATTAACATCAATGAGGTCGGGCACTGAAGATGGACCATAAGGCCTGACTCACAGTCAGTGTTCCAACTGAGTGCGAGTCATTATTTTTCCACCATCTTCCACTCTACGGACTGTCGCAGGAACAACACCCTGTGTCACTTCAGTAGGAGCAGGCGTGGCTAAAGTGCTGTCGGCAGGCATGGCTAAAGATCCAAAAACGCTTGCTTTGTGTATGGGGGGCACTGTCATGCTGAAATGGGGAAAGGCCTCACC